GCATTTTATAAAAGTATAGCTTATTAGTATCTAGCTTCTAATAAAAAAAAGTTGCTAGTTGGGCAAGGATCGGTCCCAAGTATGGTCCTAGGCTCATGAGAAACTCTAGAACCCAGACCGGTCCTCAGGACTGGTCCTGTGGACCAGTCCTATGGGCCTGAAAAAATTATTTTTCCCTTCTCAATTTTTTTTTTTTTTTATATTTTTGGGGTAAAACAAAATTTTGTATGGGGTTTTTAGTATTTTTTAGGGGTAAATTTTATAAATTTTTTAGGCCTAGAAGATTTTTTCTTTAATAAATATTATAAAATTTCCTTTTAACCCCTATAATTTATGTTTATTTTAAATTTATAGAGGGTTTTATGTAATTATACAAGGGACTAAAATGAAAATATGTAAAAAAATTTGAGCCCAGGCCTCAGACCTTGGAGGAGGGCCCAGTGGAGGGCCCAGGCCCTCCTCCTTATGGGACCAGGCCTCCTAGGACTCAAGGACCGGTCTTAGGATTGCGTTTTGGGACTGGGCTTTTGGGTCCAGTCCCAAATGCCCACCTCTACATGTAAAGAAACAACGTAAAAGAATTTCAAAAGTTCTTTTAACTTTAAATAAACTATTTCGGCGAATAAATAAGTCCAACCAAACAAATTTTTATGCGAACCTTTATATGAGACTAAAAGTTTTAAGCTTTTGGTATTGGTTTTTTATAGTAATCTGAGAGAGAGAGAGAGAGAGTAAACCCTTGTGTTCACTGGTTTCTGAAATGTTGTGTGTTTAACTTTTTTTTGTAGTGAGTACTTGCTGGTTTTAGAAGTGCAACCACCTTAACACCAATTTCTTAGTAATTTTTTGTAGTGAGTACCTGTTGGTCTCATAAATATTATCAATGCAACCTTTAATTTTATTAACAATTTCATCACTTTAACCTCTAAAAAATATGTTAACCTTTCAACATTGTTGACAGATTTTAAATGTTAGATTAATCAAATCTGGGTGAATAATAAAAACATCATTTCTTTTAAACATAAATAAAATAACCTAACAATCTATAAAAATTAACGTTTAGTACTGTAAAAATCTAATATAAAAATCCTAATATAGTAATATCTTATCAATATTAGCATAAATCATTTAAACTGTGTACACATGAAAATTGTCTTGATGAAGCTCTAGATTGAACTACCAACATTAATAAATGATGTATCTAGAAGAAAGGGGTAGACCCATCTAGAATTCAATTAGCCTAGAAAGCATTTAAAGTTTCCTTAACTAATGAGATTCTCTAATTATCCAAAGAACTTCATTGATTGTTTTATTTAGGAATTGTGTTTCACAAGTCAACATTTGCCAACTAATTTAGCATTTGCAATTTTTATATTTTGGATGCTTACACTAATGATTTCTCTTGGAGTGTTTGTAAATTGTCTCTTCCTATTAAGGATTTATCATTTAATACAATTATAAAGTCTAATTCATATATAATAGGGTTAGATTTAAAATGGGATTATTAATTCTGATACCTGTAATTGTAAGAAAATATTATATATTTTAAAATTATTAACTTATTAACTTATGCTATGATATTTTAAAATACACCTCTTTAAAAGTATATTGAAAAGAAAAAGAAAATAAACCCTTGTAGTAATATATAATTTTTTTTTCTTTTTGATAATTTTATATATACATTTCAAATTAATCAATCACAAGAGTATACAATAATAACCCTTTTAAAATATATTCAAAACAACAAAACCTTGTTGTTATAGGAAAAAGAAAGTTATTTAGTAACTTTTTATGTGAATTATATATATAACTTAATTTTTAACATAAACTTATAAAACTTGTTTTTTAATCAAAGATCAAATACCCCTTCATTGTATACGTTTGTAAGATGTTTTGAAACAAATTTTGCCTTATTTATTCTTAGTAACTTAAGGTTTTTATTTTTTTTTTCATTTTATTTAGGCCGAATGACATCTACCAACCCGAAGTTTTCATTAATGATAATTTACTACCCAAAAAGTTTGAAAACAACAATTACCTACCAACTGTTAATTATGTCCGTTAATATGACTTGAAGAAATATAGAATGGTAAATTCAAAAACAGTCAAAGAGCAATTATGTCATTTTACCCTATATATAAACAAAGAAACTCTAAACTATTCCTCTCATCTTCTTCTTCTCCATCTCCCCTTCCTCCTCCCATCTTCATCTTCTTCATCTCCCTAGTTGGCCAAATCGCACCCGGTTGGTGCACACCCCTGACGACCAATCAACAAACCCCCCTTTTTTCCCCTCGCAGATTGCTGGCCACTATTGGCTTTTTTAGCACGTCACACGACTGTTTTAAGCCAAAATCTGACAACGAAAACCCCACCCGTCACCACCTCTTCACTCACCAACATCCCCCTTCAAAACCCCTAACATCCCCGACCACGGTAGCCCGCCGTTTGTTGCCGCCACTCATCTTAGGGTTTCGTGAAACTATTGAAATTAGGTTTGATTGGAGGCTGTTTTTGAGTTTCTTTTGAATTGGAGATTGATTGTGTTGTGGAATATAATTGGTTGTTGATTGATTGGGTTTTTTTCGGCTATTTTCCCTGCCGCCAACCACCATTTCTTCCAACTATGTTAATTATAAAAATAAAATAATTATAATTGAAAAGAGAGATTCTTTATAAAATTAATATTAAAGAAAGAGAACCGACACGTGACCACCATACAGACCAAGACAAGAATTTTAAAATGTTAGATTTTTTGGCTACATTGAAAATTACCACCCTACCATTCTTTAAACAGATTTTACTAACAAATCTTAACGGTGGGCGGAAAACTGTATAACAGATCTTAATCATGGGGGGTTAATTTTCTTTTTCAATTTTTTTGGGTTGTGAATGTCGTTAAGGAAAACTTCGGTGCGAATCGTTTGGCCTTTTATTTAATGAAAAGATAGATGCATAATTAAAATAAATTAAGCAAAGTGATAGAAAGGTTCATTGATCATTAATTTTGTCACAATTTTAATATCCATTTAATTAATATGTTGAACATGGGGGATTATTCCTTAAGCTAGCAATTATTGCAATAGTATTATAGTCAACTTAAATTAAGCTTAATTCGCCCTTTACACCTACTATTAATATTATAACAGTTTAAAAATTAATATGAGATTCTAAACATAAATAATAAATAAGAATAGATCTTAATTAATTACATTGGTGTACCATCAACCTCCTTACACCTAATCCATTAAATTTGTTATTATAACATTAATTTATTTATTAGGGTTTTACATCGATGCTTTTTAATTATAAGATTAAGTGCATAATCATGAAGATGGTGATATATTATCTAATTAATATCACTAATTAACTAAGTTTATGGTTACTTAATACACCCAACCCCTTGAGAGTTGCAGAAATTACACTTATACCCTTAATTAAGGTTTCAAAACTATCAATAAACACCCTATGCTTTTAGTTTTATTTCACACATTGTGATTATTTTGTTAACTAAACATTCTTTTTCTATACCTTACGGGTAGGTATGATTCACCGTACAGGATTGGACTAATTAGCTATGTTATTTAAATTGCATACAATCTTTTTGTAAGTCTCATTAATAATTTTTTAAAATAAAAATATATCTTCAATTAAAATTTTCAAAAGAATATAATTTGTAGTCAAGTATTTTCTAGTAGAATACACCGAACTAAAGATATAAATGTTTTGAGATGGATGATTTTGAAATAAAATATAATATACTTCATCAAATTTTACAATAAACTTTATTATTAATGAGACTTGCAAAGAGATTTAATGAGGCTTAGATAACAATATTTAATAGAATAAAATGGTGTGCTTGGTGAATATTGTATTCAACAAGATTATTTACATAATTAATAAATTCCAATTTGTTGAACAAATGATTAATTAATTTGATTATTACTTAAAATTATTATCACATATTTATAATATTTTATAATGTTAGTCAATTAATTAAATAAATTTAAATATAATTTGCTTGAAATACACACAAAACACCCCATGAGGGGTTAAGAATTTTTAGTCCTCAAGGATTAGTCAAAGTATCAACTTGTACCTCAAATTCTAAAAAGTAACACATTCAAACTAAAACTTTTAGAATAGTGTCATTTACCTCCTCGATGTTAAAATCCGATACTAACATATATTAAAAACCATGTAAAGAAATATATAATACCTAACAAAATCAAATAAAAGGATCAATTTATAGAAATCAAATAAATGTCAAGAGGATGTGCTATGACAACTTTGCCCTTCACCTATTAGTTTATATATCATGTACGTTGGCTTTAAGGTCGTAAAGATCATTAGTATTCGAGAAGATGTGGGTAGAAAGTTTTTAGAATTTGAGGTCCAAGTATTGCTTTTACCAAACCTCAAGGACTAAAATGATTTTAACTCATGAGGAATTTTCAAAATAAAATAAACCAAACGATCTCAACATAAATCTTCATTGTTTGACTTAAAAATATAAAAATTTCTAATTATAGTAGCTCATGCACAATAAACTATTCTTGGAGTAACAAAACTTTTAAGGAATCCCCTAAATAAAATTAATCAAAAGATCTCAAGTACAAACTTTTCTGATATTTATAATGAGCGGCAGAAGTTATAAATCGTTCAATTTATTGACAATGAACAAGTAATTAAAGATAAATTTAATCTTATATATCGGTAAAGATATAATTAAATAATTTAAATTATTCTTTTTAACAAAATAAATAATCTCACCATTTGTAACTTATATTCTCTTATTGCAAAAATCTAAAAGTTTATACAATTTCTGATCATATCATATTGTTATATATATAAATTGTTTAGATAACTTGTGTATGATAAATAAATAAATTATTGGCAGACAAAAGTTTGTATTATGGTTTTTGGGATAAACAGTGATTACATTATCAGACCGAGAATTGGTGTATAAAAGGCATGAGATTTTAGTTGTTGCATCACATCTTCACATTATCCTTGTTTCTTGTCAGTTTTCACTCTATCTCACAAAGATAACAGTTTTGTGAATTGAATCCACACACACACACTACACAAAGAGAAAACATATAACAAATCAACACAAAACGACACGTCTAAGCAAACCCCACTTCCACTTTTGGTCCCATTTCATTAGTAAATGGAAAGCCATTTCATTGAATCACTCAATTGTTTGTTTTAGTTCGAGTTTGTGTCCCAATACACACTCACATTGATTGATTAAACAAAGGAACGAACGAACGAGCGACCTCACGGTTGGTGTAACTTTCTTTCATCATACCCATCTCCATTTACTACTTGTTTTAGTGTTCTGCTTCGTGGGTTGTTGGCTTTTGCATTGATTCGCTCTACACTTACCTTTTTCTTGAGATGGGGTTTTGGTTTTTTTATTGATTTCGTGATTTCTCTGCTTGTGGTGAGCTCTTTCATCTGATTTGAATGGCTTTTGTTTTGAGTTTTGATTCATGTTGGTGTTTGTTTGATCCCCTGTTGTTGATAAGCTTTCTGGGAATTTTAGATTTGGTTTGTTTTTAATTTGCTAATTGAGTTTTTTAATCTGTGCATTATGATTTATTTAGTTGTTGCTTTTATGTATTGATATATAAACACATGATAATCCTTGCTTTAGATTGTTGGTTCTGTGTTCATCACTTTATTTATTTATTTTTATGTTTTATTGGTGATATTTGCAAACATCAAGCCTGGAAATATTCAATACCATTTAAATTTTTGAGTTTGTTGTTGAAGCTTTGAGTTGACTATATGGAATGTAGTATTATAAAAAGCTTTTTGAAGTTCATGGTTGTGGAGAATGCATATTTTACAATTATGGTGCTTTGCTGCTATTGTACTTCACAATGATGGATTTGTTTTGAAGTTCATGGCTGATTCCTTGTCTATCTGCTAAGGAATAGATGAAACGTCAGGATGAGGAGAGGAAGAAAGTAGGAGAAAGTACAGAAGAAGGGATATAAGATCTGCTAATATAAAGTAGAAGGATTTTAAGATGGCAGCAGTGTCAGACCCGACGGCAATGGCTTTTAAGTCGTATCAAAGTAAGGCTGAAGTTCTGGTTAAGGACTACTTAATCTCAGAGCCTTTTATTCCATATTCTTCAGTCTTTGGTGGTTTATTGGCTTGCAAAATGGTATACCGAACTTTTCTCTCTGCTTTTAAATACCTAACTGATTTGCCTTTCGTCTCATAAATTGCATGTACTTATTGTTCTCTCCAACAGGTCTATGATCTTACTCAGTTAATTAGCACCTTTTACTTGAAGAGTTATAATGGCCTTACAAAACTCCAACGAATAGAGTGGAACAATCGGTGAGTGCATGATCCAGCTTTTCCCTTTTGTTGTGGTAATTGTTGCATATATCCTTATTGACTAATTAATATCCTTATTGTGGCAGCGGTATCTCTACAGTTCATGCCGTTTTTATCTCAGCTATGTCATTGTACTTTGTGTTCTGGTCAGATCTCTTTTCTGACCGACGATCAGATGGTCTTGTTATTTTCAGAAACTCTCCTCTCTCTACTTTTTCATTAGGGGTAAGTTTTTTTTTTTTTCCTTTTTTTTCTTAGTTAAATATTTAGCCATCTTTTGTGAGAAGTTTCTTGTCTTCTACTGAAGAAACAAAAATGATGTTTGATGGCTTTAATTATTATAAATGTGCCAAGCATTGGCAAAAACTCCCTAAAAGAATAATTATGCCCAAGACATTTGAGCAGTTTGCCTTTATGTTTGGTGTGATAGCTGTTAATGGTATTTATACAGACAAAGGTTTAACTTCTTATAATACATATATACATAATGAAATGCTGTTTTTGAATGTTCTTTACGCTAATGTTTTGTTATGATTCCTTCTGAGACTTCTTGGTCAACATATTTCTTTCCTGATCAGCGGAGTTAAGACCCGCCTATTGTGTGTATAGGCTAGGAAACTCATGTAATGTGTATGGCTTATGCTGCCTTTCTCTTCTTCAAAGGAGAAAAAATATTTCATGGATGGAAATGGTAGGCATACATTCTTGGAATTACAGGCAGGATGATGAGATCAGAAGCATATACTCCTCTACTTCATCCTGAAGCATGTTGGGATGTATCTTTTGAAATTAGTTTTCATGACTTCTATTGATTGTGCCCTTGGATTAATAAAAATATCTGCTTTGATGTCTATTATACATACATTAATAAAAGAATTTGGATATGATCTTTTACAGGTTTCTGTTGGTTACTTCCTCGCGGATCTTGGAATGATATTATGGCTATATCCTTCTTTAGGGGGAATGGAATATGTAAGTGTTTGCACTAGGACAGAAGGCAGTCAAGTTCTAATTTTGCATGTTTACTATCATTATTTTTTTATTTTTTTATTTTTTTGTGAAAGAATTGTGGTTGGAGCACTATTAATTTAACATTACCCTGTGTATTTTTCTCTGCATACCGTACTTTCAGACAAACATTTAAGCATCCTTTATTCCCTTGCATATTTTGCCTTTTTAAAACTTTTATATTCCTTTCTCGTATATGTTTTCCAGCCATTTTACATTGGATTTATAAGATTTAGCTTACTGCATTGAAAACTTAGGAAGTTGACATCCATTCTAGACTCCATATTTCACCTCAGGAGTTTTCAATGTGCTTTTTTGAATCCTATTGGCATCAATGTTGGAATCCCTCTGTGTATCGATTTCTAAAAGAACTTTGGACGCTTTTTTCTAATGATATAGTGCTGAAACTGAATCTGCATAACAATAGTTGATGCGGAGAAATTCTTGAAAGCCAAGCCAGTTGTATAAAGAGAGTCAATTTTGAAGTTGAATAAACATAAAGTCTGTATTAAATGAGTATAGGCCATGCCAAAGGCATGCTTGTATAACGGATTAGTGTATAATCTTGATTTCAGGTTATCCACCACTCTCTTTCCGGTATTGCAGTAGCCTATTCTATGTTTTCTGGAGAAGGGCAGCTTTATACATACATGGTCCTCATCTCTGAGGTGACAACTCCAGAGATTAATATGAGATGGTAGGTTTTGTGCATGTTAAGTTTTGATTAAGATCTGAAGTTAAACTCTAATTATATCTTTGGGCTCATGAAGGTTTCTTGATATGGCTGGTATGAAGAGGTCCAATGCATATCTCATTAATGGCGTAGTTATCTTTTTTGCTTGGCTGGTGAGTTAAATCTTCTTGAAATTTCATTGTAGACAAATTTTCTTCACTATTTGGTATCCATTGAAATACATGTCCGTGAAATAAAAATTTATTAAAAAAAAAAAAAAAACAAAAAAAGGGGAAAAATCAAGGAAAAGAAGAAGAGAAAATTGGTTAACAGATAGTGTTGGGTCACCAACCATGCAATGGTACTTCAGACTACTCAGATATAAAGATATACTTATTAAGTATTTAAGTCACTTGATAACTGTAATGACAGGATTACCTGTCTCTGTTGTTTTGACGATGATGGGAGTCAATATCTCTTGAAAATGGTTACTTATTTTTTTCTATTCCTGCGGCTGAAATGAGTTTTAAAATGCAGATTGCAAGAATTCTGCTGTTCATTTACATATTTAACCATGTTTACTTGCACTACGATGAGGTAGTTTCTTCTCTCTATTTTTTTTTTAATCTATGTATATTTTTTATTTTTATGGTTAAAATTTCATTGTCTTCAATTAGTAGTAAGGTGGCAGGTTGTAATCTCTTACTTTGTTAGGGATGGTTGTGTTTTTCCTTATTTTTTCTATTTTTCTATTTTCAAATTTTCATTGTGGTTTGCATTAAAGATATGCTCACTGCTAAAACAAGGGAGGAAAGTAGATCAGTTAGAGATCATTCCCAACTTCAATCTCGAATGGGTAACAAAATCCATATTATTTCGTATACTTGTGACTTCATTATGACCAAATTTTTTTCTAATAGCTAATGACTTCTAAATGATGCATATACAATAAGAATATGTTGTAATCTTGGTAATTTTTTTTCCTTCTCTTATTCTGTTCTCTAGGGTAAACCCTACTTCAAAAGTCCAAGTTTGCTTGAAGGTTCATTTTGTTCGTTCATATTTCAAGTGATTTAATTTGGTCCTTTATGCTTTTTTTCTAGTTGAATGTTGTCTACCTATCATCCGACACCCAGATCAACAAACGTGTCCATTAATGCCAGCTAATGAGTTTGCGTGACCAACACTTATTTGATGTGATTAATGCTTTAAACAGTTTATGTTATTGCTGATATTTTAAGATGAAAGCGACTTATTCACTGTAGCAAAAGAATTTGATAACATGGCAATTATTAGCCCTCCTTCCTTTTTGTTGCCCCATCTCTATTCTCTATGTAGCCTTCTCTCTGTCCAACTACCCTTTCTCTCATTTCCCTATTGCCTGGCGCTTTCTCTTGTCTCCATCTCTTTATGATCAGACTGGGTTTGTGGTTAGAAGTGAGAAAGGGTGACGAGGAGAGAAAAGCAGGCCAGGAGGAGAATAGAGAGGAAAGCATGGATGTGAGGAAGTATGATGAAAAAGAGGAAAGAGAGAGTTGATGATTGTCACATAGCAATACTTTTTGTTGCATCAAGCAATATTTAGTCACGTCATTTTAATATATCTCTTAGAGCCTAATCAATTTAAAATATCGGTCACATTAGTTAAATATAACCATTTCAGTAGCTAAATAGTCTAGATCAGCTGAGTTGGGTGTCTGGTGACGGTTAGATCAAATTAAACTAATCACAAAACTTGAAGGACCATATAACCACTTGAAACTTAAAGTAACAAATAGAACCAATAAGTGAACTTGGAGGACCAAAAAAGTGCTTTACGCTTTCTAATTTTGATATAAATTTGCATATTTTTTTTCTTCTTCAAAATCATCATGAATGCCATCTAAACACATCTATGGTATCCATATTGATTTTATTTTTTATTCCTAGTTATATAAGTGGTTTGAATTTTTATTACAAGTTTCTGGCTATTTCTTGAAATTAAGATCGAGGAGATTGTATGTAACTAAAATTTAAGTGATTCAATTATGACATGAAGTTACTTGATTGGCATGGCAGGTCATGCAGATGCATGTTATGGGTTATCTCTTGGTTTTGGTAGTGCCATCTGCACTAGGCATCATGAACTTGATGTGGTTCGCAAAGATCGTCAAAGGATTGAAGAAAACTTTAGCGAAAAGGCAGTGATGGATAATGTTTCATATACGTGCTAGTCTAAATGTGTTGTTACACAGTTGGGGCTAACTAACATTTCTGTGCATTTTTTCTGTTTTCTTTACTGTATAGATAGAGAGAAGTGAAAGAAAATGTAGTTCCTTTATGTTGTTGAAAATTCTACTGTTGTAAATGACCTGCCCACGTTGCAGAAGCTGTTTCGGTTCATATTTATAATCTTACAACCAAATTGGTCTTTACTGTTTTCAAGTTCTTGTTGTCTATCAGTAATTTTTCAAGTTTAAATTAAGGTTAAGTTGCTCAAAATCCCAGTTTCTGTAAATGAGAAGGCTACAAAGGATTTTGTGCTTGTACCTAAAATGTGTTGATCATGATTGGTTCTTGTTGCTCAGGTTATGTATATGTATATTGTTGAGCATTTGACAGTTTGGGTTGAATCGAGTTGATATTGTCCTTTTTGGGTTTAGCTCGCACGAACTTGCTTTTGCACTTGTGAAGCGTTTTTCACCCAAAACATATCTACTTATATGATGGAACCCAAACTTATAAATTGACGTATTCGCTCATTTGCCGGTGATATATTGGGTTATTATCCCTCACCTCCTCTCAAATTAAAAAAAAAAATTCTCTCAAACCTTCCCTCGTCACCGATTGGTAACAAAATCTGTTAGGTGTATTGTATTTTTCTTAAAGGAAAACTACACTAACCCCTTTATGTATACCTATGTTACAAACCCCCCTCAAATATTTGAAATTATTCTCAACCCTGTCAATAAAACCAAGTTGCTCTCAACTCCAAAACCAATTAAATACGTTATTTACCCCTAATTCCACTAAAATAAAATAATAATAAGTATAATTTACTTTTAATGTTTACAAAAAAATAATAATAATTAATACAATTATACTCTATGGGGTTATTTAAAATATCTATATACTTAGAGGGTTTACAATACTTTTTTTTTAACGAAGTTTGTTAGCAAATGGTGGAAACTGGATAGGGAAGGTTTGAAAGAATTATTAAAATTTGATGGGGAGGAGAGGGATGCTATTTTAAACTTGTGGGTGTCAATACGAGAAACACAAACCTCGAGGAGGTGAGCAGTAAAAATAGATAATGTTGGTTTTAGATTAACTTGTACAAATTTGTTTTCAGGTTTCAAGTTAACATCATTCATAAAAAATTAAGTCTCCTATTTGCTAGCGATGTATGAGATATATTGGTTAAATTGAGTGGGAAAATGTTAGTAACTAGATCTCACTGGGTCTAAGCAATATTTCCGACAAACGGTAGGGATATAAATGTAATGTTTCATAAACATCAAAGATGAAGCCAAGGAGCATGTTTCAAGGATGTTATTGGACTTTTGACATGGGTTTGAAGTTACGACAAAACACTTTTAGAGCTAATAATTCATTACATTATAATTAAAAGTTAATTAAACAATAAATAATGAATAAAACAACTAGTGCAAGCAGTTAAGATCCTCAATTAAATTAACTAACCAACTCTTTGTCTCTCTAATATTATTAATTAATTAAAGCTTAAGCTAGCTTTCATTAATTAATTCCTGCAAATCTATGTCATTTTCCAATATCTAAGTACTTTAACTTTTTTCACATACACCCCCTTAATTATTTGTTTTTAATTATAATTAAAGCTTGATCAAGTACAATTCCTTGAATTGTATTGTAAACCTAATTTAATATGAACTTGCTTAGTGGTTTGATATTATATTCTATAAATAAATTAGTTTTTTCTAGTTTTAGTAGGGGAAACTTTGTAAACCCCTATGCATTTCAGCTATTACCAACGACCCCTCACTAGTTTTGTAAATGCACCCTAACCCCCATAACATTAGTATTTATTTTCCATTAAAATTAAATGAAGAAAAGGTATTGTTGATGTTTTGACTTTCAAAAGGGGCGATTTTTACTTTTATTTCTTTTCTCCCCTCCTTTTTTTTTTTTTTTTGGAAAATAATAGGGACACCGGGAGTAGTGCACTGAATGACGTGGCTCAATCCTGACCGTCTATTAATTATAACTTAATATTAATCGACGGTCAGGATTTCGCCACGTCATTCGGTGCACTATTCCCGATAACTGTAGCATTACTCTTTTTTTTTTTTTTTTTTCCCTCTTTCATCCCCTCCCCCCAACCCCTATGCCAAATTTGACCAAATGAGTGTTTCCACAAGGCTGGATCTAACCTTCTGATGCTTATTTGTTGCCGTCATGAGGCATATTCAACCTTGCATCACTCAGTCGGTAGTGACGCAAGGCAGATTCGGCTTTCAACCCTCCTCTAACATAATTTTGTGTCGACTCAAGTCTTTAGCACACTGCAAGGCCCTAATAGCTCCCACGAGGCCAGGCGTGGCAGTTTTGAGCAAGGGTGAAATTTATAAATTTAAGAGTTAGAGGGGGTTAACAAAATTGTGAGAAGGATAAAATCATATTCTATATGTTAACGTATGTTTATGAACAATTTTCAATAGAATGAGGGTTAGGATCTTATTTCAAAACTAGTGGATGGCTACTAAAATACCTAAAACGCGAAGGGGTTTACCAAAATCTCCATATAGTAAGTAAACCCATGTGACAATATTAATATTCTGATGCGGCGGTTGATCAGCGCCGTCGCTGGTTTGTGGATGTTGTGTCATGTACACGCAATGATAAGAAAAGCTAAAGCTGATGCATGCATGAAAGCAGGACTAGAATCAAAATTAGGGTCATATTGTTTTATTAATTAATTAACTACAGCCACAAATTTGAAGCCTGGAAGTTTTAATTAAAAATTAAAGAAGAAACCAAAGTAGTACACGAAGATCATAGTGGCCCCTATTCAAACATGAAGAATTATAATATATGATATGTTATTATATAGAAATATAATCAAGGGAATATTTATGATAATTTTAAATAATGATCATCTTATTATAGGTAAAACTAAAATGAGTCACATCACATGCATGGAACTCATTCAAGCACACAATTAGCTACCTTCCACATGCCCGCCGCAAACGTTCTTGGAGAACTCGATCTTCTCTTCTCTTCAGATGACAGATGAGCCGCAAAAATAAAATATTTATTAATTAGTTCAAATTGAAGTTAAAAAGTAGAGAAAACTTTTCAATATTCGATATCAGAAAGATGGGTCGACGTTGTCTTTTAACGTTAAAAGAGAAGAGGTTTCTCTTTTGTTTTGGCTGTTATGCCGGATCCAAAACATGGTATGTGAGTCCAGAGGTATTATCTGCTTTGGGTTCTGGGATCTACACGGTTTTACCTTGAAAAAACGTTTCTGGATGATGAGAGTATCCTTATACAATATAAGTAACCAAAGTCATTGTCTCCTATCCGATGTAGGACTTCAACATCAACACAGCCCCCCACCCCTAAGGGGCTTGGGAGTAGTGGATCCAAAGACATGGTAGATAGGTTAATATTAAGACAAAAAAATTTATATCGAAAATTATGAAAATTTTGTCTTTTCCTATACTAATTAATTACGGTTCGAAATTTGAAAAATGCAGATATATAGTCCGTATCTAAGGATTTTCGTAATACCAGACACTAGATGTAGTAGTTTTCTACTAGCTTGTAGCTTGCTAGAATATTACTCATGTTACTTATTGTCTTTCATTTGAAAGTGGCATGGATGCAAGTCTAGAAATAAATGAGCACCTATGACCTATAGACAACAATGGCAACATTCAAAACCCTAACAAGTTTTATAACCTTATTCAATATTTTTAAGCAATGACCATATATATAAAATATAAAACTTATATAAGTGGTAAGTACTTGATTTATTTTTAATATAAATAAATAAAAAGTTAATAACAGTATGGTTTCAATTATATTGCTGATGAATTAGATGCATGTTTTAAGAATATGGTTGGATGAACATTTAGTTAGGTGATCATGACAAACACTTAGATTTTAAAGCACATAATGCCATAATTATATTGCTTTCTACTAAGCATTTCAGATCTATTAAGAAATATATAATATACATACAAATTAAAGAAAAAAAAAAAAGCATGCAGTAGTAGTTAAGATCCTTCGATATTACCAAGAATTTTGGTCTCTCCAATTTAATACAATTTCATTACAATTAGTGCTTTCATATGTATGGATTGGAGAAGTTGGTGATGAAATGGCAAATGGCAAACCACAAACTGATAGGGAAACTTGTATGAAATTATGAGTTACGAATCATTGACTTAATTTAATTTAATTTTTAACCACCAATCTGATAGTGTTACTGGGTTAGTATGCGAACCATTTTTTATTTTTTATCCTATGCCACTTTGCATGGTAGAAAATACCCAAATCTTAATGATAAAAAAACTGTGAAGACCTCTCCCTTGTGGTCGGATGACAAACCCTTTTGTTATTGGGGTTAGTTATATTCAAAAAGTCTTGTGTTCGAGTTATGGGAGAGATACATACATACATTTATGCAACTATCTTAGTTTATTAGGTTTGTAGGGTGTTTTGTGAACCTGGCAATTAGGCAGACTCCAATATAAGTCTGGATACCTCAGATACTTAAAAAAAAAAAATCGTAAAGAAGAATCTTGATTAGGGCTTTATTGACAGTTCGTAATATTTAACTATTACGCTTACTAATTTTCTTCAAGAAAGATAATTCTCTAATAATAATTTCACTACAACAAAAACTGACATACTTTAACATTTAAAAACAGTCAAAAGCAGGTATGCTTGACATCTATAAATCAAGCATATATTCTCTTTGTTACATAAGAACGTGGCCTTCTTCATTTAATTTGCTCTAGGAGCTCTACTAGAAAATATATGTATCCCGATGCCCCCTTTCTTGAAGCAGTAAATAGCGTTGGAATACGCCCTCAAAGGGTATTAATTTTTAGTACTAAAATGATAATAATTCCATAAGCTAGTGCTATTAATTAGTACTTTTTATAAGTAGTACTACCCGCTCGAGTGTATATATTAGTATCTAAACCAGATAGTATTAGTATTATCAGCTTCAATAGAGTGTATATTGTCTGATTTGGGGTCTAGTTTATATAGATTTGCTTTTGGGTTTCATGCACTTATTCACCCAAAACGAGATAATCTGCTTAGTTGATAGGATTCTAGACTTATAAACTGACTCCTAATCACATTTACTTGTGAAAAATCTACTCAACGAAGATGATTCAAGACTTATAAATTGACTCTAACTCGTGTTTGTTAGTGACGAGTCTACTCAGACGTTGAAAGTACTCATATCTTATAAATTGATCCAAACTTACACTCACGAATGTCGAATCTTTTTTAGTCGAGGAGACCACTCAAAGGTTTATAAATTGACTCAAACTAACATTCTCTAGTGACATCGGCAATGATATGACCCCAACTTTACTAATAGGTCAGTTAATTAACTTTTTTCATCAATCCAACTGAAACATTGATTTATGCTAATCTTTGTTAATCTGTTTTGTTCTCTACTCCTAACTAATAAAAAAAATTAATTTACAATGAATTAACTAATTAAGTACATTAATGTTACATATAAAAATAATCACGGGCAGATCATTTTCCACTAGTTTAACTAGTTGATGATCATGCTTCCTCGTGGAAGAATGTTTTATCCATTCATAGAAGTCCGATTCAAACCCTTTCTAGAATGAGTATATCCCATGCAACACTCCTTTGTCTTCTTCCTTTTTCTTAATTTCCGTTCACAGTGGACATCCTGTAAGCTCCCACGCCGCAAAACCCTAACCCTACTTCTCCTTCATGCAACACCTGTTAATTTGTCCCTTCATTCCGCCAAACCGCAGCTCTATAAATTCATGCAACTTCTGTTCCCATTTCACCTCATTCAACTAATTAGTAAGCTTCAATGGCCGTATCTTTCTTCTTCTTCCTTCTTGTTTTATTGTTCTTCATTAGTTTCAATGCTGGAACCCTAGCCAAAAAGCATCATCCTTTAGTTCTAGGGTTATCCCATTCTAGGGTTTCCATCCCCATTCCCAAAACCTCCGAAATTATTACCAGAAAAACCTCAGAAGTGTTGGATATGGTGGAGCCTTTGAGGGAAGTGAGGGATGGATACTTGATTTCACTGAACATCGGGACGCCACCGCAGGTGATTCAGGTTTATATGGATACTGGGAGTGATCTCACTTGGGTTCCTTGTGGAAATCTCTCTTTTGATTGCATGGATTGTGATGATTATAGGAACAATAAGTTATCTAATTTCTCTCCTTCTCGTTCTTCCTCTTGCTCTAGAGACATTTGTGGTAGCTCCTTTTGTCTTGACATTCACAGCTCTGATAACTCCTTTGATCCCTGTACTGTTGCTGGATGTTCTTTGAACACTCTTCTCAGATCCACTTGCGCTAGGCCATGCCCTTCTTTTGCCTACACCTACGGTGAAGGCGGTGTCATTACCGGAACCCTAACGAGGGATAACCTTCGGGTTCATGGAACTAGCCCCGGAAATATCACCAGGGACATCCCTAGTTTTCGTTTCGGTTGCGTCGGGTCAGCGTATCGCGAGCCTATTGGGATTGCAGGGTTCGGTAAGGGCTCGCTCTCGCTTCCCTCCCAATTAGGGTTTCTCCAAAAGGGGTTTTCCCATTGTTTCTTGGGATTCAAGTATGCAAATAACCCTAACATTTCAAGTCCATTGATTTTGGGAGATGTTGCTATTTCATCCCAAGAAAATCTCCAATTCACCCCAATGTTAAAGAGTCCAATGTATCCAAATTACTATTACATTGGCCTGGAGGCCATATCTGTGGGAAATTCTAGTTTAGCTCAAGTGCCATTGAGCTTGAGGGATTTTGATTCCAATGGCAATGGAGGATTGCTGATTGATTCAGGAACAACTTACACTCATTTTCCTGAACCGTTCTACTCGCGCCTCCTCTCCCTTCTTCAATCTCAGATAACCTATCCCCGAGCGACGGAGGTTGAAGAAAGGAGTGGATTTGATCTTTGTTACCGAGTTCCATGCCCGAACAACACGTTGGTTGATGCCGATTTTCTTCTTCCTACCATAACCTTTCATTTCTTGAACAATGTGAGCCTCGTTTTGCCTCAGGGGAACCATTTTTATGCGATGAGTGCTCCGAGTAATTCGTCTGTGGTGAAATGCTTGCTGTTTCAGAGAATGGATGACGGCGATTATGGACCGGCGGGAGTGTTTGGGAGCTTCCAGCAACAGAATGTTCAAGTGGTTTATGATTTGCAGAAGGAAAGAATAGGGATTCAGCCAATGGATTGTGCTTCAGCTGCAGCTTCTCAAGGACTTCATAAAAAATAATGATCAATTTCAAACGGTAGTTATTGGCAGTTGCCAATCTTGCTTTTGTCCAACTTAACTAAAATAACGAGAATAAAAAGAAGGCATCTTACCATTGGTATCATGAATGAGTATTTAAATGATATGATACGTTTGTCTTATTTAAAATTGTCTCAAAATGACAACTTCACTTCAGTTTATAGTTTATTTTTCGATGATTTCTCTAGTTAATTTTTCGATTTTTCATCTGGTAAACTTTTGCAGTTATCAATAAGATTAAACTTAATGTAGTGGATACATTCTCATTGCATAACATTGAAGAAAACAATCTTGAGTAGGAACAACATATTATATCTTTTTTATACTGAAGGAGTATTTAAATGATAAGATATATTGGTCTTACTTAAAATAATTTCAAATAGATAACATAATGTAATAATCAATACTTAGGTGGCCGCGTAGTTTGATAGAGACTCTTGGGTGTATTACTCAAAAGATCTTGTGTTTGAGTCCCTCCTCGGTTGCTAATAGAGATGGTTACTAGAGCTTTTACCCAGTCGATAATTTTAAGGTTCCGGAAGATTAGTTAAGGTGTCCATAAATTGGCCTGGATGCCTCCGGTCACAAAAAATAAATAAATAAATAAATAAAGTAAGTCTATAGTTTATTTTTGGACGTTTTCTTTCATTAGTTTGTATTTCATGACATAAGTTTTTTGTAGTTATCAATAAGATAAAACTTAATGTGTAGGTTATCTTATGAACAAATTTGGTGTGCAATTTAGGATGTTTTGGAACTCAATTTCTTAAGTATAAATTAATATGATCAACTGATTAAAGATTCTGTTTGGCGTAAATGGTTTATTTATTTTTATGCCAGCTAGATGTCCACTTTACCTTCATTCTAATCAATTACAATGTTTTACTTATTTAATTTATTATTAATGTTTAATTACGCGTGCATGAACCTTTGCGTGGTGGAAAATACTGGGAATATACATTAATAATATTATATTTACAAACAAATCTTACAAAAATTTGTGTACAAATTAATGTGACATGAAATGAATGAATGAGTGAATATAAAAAGTCAAACTCATTATATTCACTCTTCCATTTATTTTATGTCACATCAGTTTATACACAAATCTTTATAAGACTTATTTGTATATCTAGCAGTAGCATTACTCAATATACATAGTTCGATACTATGGGGAAATTCCCATTACCCCTTCAATTTTATGAAAGAAATCGTTTTAGTCCAGGGAGCTGTGATAGTAACACTTTTTTCCTCAAATTTAATTATGTAATTATTACAAATGAATAAATACCTTAAGTTTGGCAAAAGTAAAATTAGAGCTACAGGTTCTGGTGATTTTTTTTTTTTTTTAATTGAAAGTGACATTTCACCAAACCTCATAAAGGAAAATTAGTAAAAGCCCTACTAGAAGTCTTAAAAAATACAATAAAGTTATACTAATAAACGAATCTTAAAAATTTTCTCTCACAAACCTAATATGGCAATCGATGATTTGTTTTCTGATGAATTTTTTGCCCTATTGACATTGCCTAACGGTGTGGTTCGAATGTCGCATTGAATTGGTGAGATTCATTTGTAATGTAGTATTGCTCTAAAAAATAATACTAAATGATACTTTGGTACAACTTTAATAGTACCATCATGGTACATAAATCAATTTAGATATAAAACATTCAATTTTTCGATAGATGAAGGAAAAAAATTTACATGAATTTATTCGCCTGTGATATGGATAATATGATACCCTTGTATTATTTCATATTTGCATTTAATTTCATTATCCACCTATAGTTATATGTATTGCTATCGAGTAGAACTTACTCTTGGACTCTCTCTCCCCTTCTTTGGGTCAGAGATCACAAGCTTAAAGTCTAAACCCAATTTTATGACCTAAACAAAACGAGTGACAAGCTCTTGAAACATTCAAACATGGAGAACCTAATCTAGAAGCTCCACTTCCAAAATTTAGCAAAGCACATTTATTTCCTGGGGCCCTGATATATTCCACAAGATTTGATATGATGACCATGCCAGATGTAAAGCCTAAGATCCAGTAAGTTTTTTCCGAAGTTACAGATAAACCTGTCAAAAGCATGCTATGCATATTGCATTGAGCAATACTACTCTTACAAAGACAAAAACAAAGAGGCCATACAAAGACAATTTTCACCCTTCATCTTCATGATCTCTCTCTCTCTCTCTCTCCCTCTTTTTCCGTTTTTTCTTTGTTTTTTCCTTCCTGGTGATGTCACTTTGTAGCTTTCTTTGTATTGTCTTTGTAAGGATAGCATTTTTCTATTGCATTCAATATGGTTGGGCTAACACTTGTGGGCATAAGTAATAATAACACATTTATTTACATTCAAACCAATGTATTTTTAAAACAGAAGCAATCCTCAATTCCAGTAACAGGACAACACGAGCGCATCCGGACAAGGCATGCATGTACAGTTTGGTTTTCAAATGAATAATACATGAAGGAAACTTGGACAGAGAAGAGACTTTGAATTCTAGCAAGCATTATAGGAGCTATGTAGAAGATACAAGTAGGTGGGCAGCGGTCACCACCACCTAAGTACCTAAGAGCAACACGATGTAGTTACTGTCCTTTCGGTGGGTCTATCCATGAGAACCATTCCTGACGGGTTTGGTGCTGGCTGCACTCGAGGTAGTCTCTTAGCTGTATCCAAAATATAAATGAAAACAAGATTATAAAATACCATATTCAAAAATGTGCTGGAATCTTTAGGCAAGCAATTGTTCTTTGTTAAAAAAGATATATAATGGTAAAGAGTAATGCTAGTTTTACAAAGACACGTACAAAGAGAGCATACAAAGACAATCCCCACCTTTGATTTTCATGATTTCTCCCACTTTCTCTTCCTTTTTCCGTTTTTTCTTTGTTTTTTTCTTTTAAATGATTTCACTTTGTAACCCTCTTTGTATGGGTTTTTGTAAGGATAACATTTTTCAATAGTAAAAGTTGATATGACCGGCATTGTTGATTTAGAACGTTGAAACTATGATATATTTTATTGTTCCTGTAGGTTATGGTTCACTATTACTATTAACAAACTGGCACATATTATGGATAAACAATGACGCAGCAACTGAAAGCTGAAACTTGTTTCTGAAATGGAGCTTTTTTTATTTTTTAAATGTGATTTAGGGAATGAACTGCTTAATGATATCATTTCACATTTCAAATTCGATGTCTTCGTTCCAATAGAAATACTCTTTGAACTTACAGAAATTAAAGACATACCAATTTCATAGAAAATGTCATTGACATTAGATGCTGTTTTTGCAGAGGTTTCCATAAAGAAAAGTCCATTCTCTTGAGCATAAACTTGTGCATCCTGCAGCAATACAAAATTTTGATTTAAAAAAATCACAATAGAAAACCCAAATAAAATAACCTCCTGACAGAAAACACTAGAAACGCCTTGATTAAAAATGGCACATAATATTTAAATCATAAGAAAAGAAAAAACAGGGTTATTTTGCAAATACTGTTCCCAATTGGAAGTTTCTTCTTGTCCTAACAGATTCATTAGTAAACTTCCAAATACTTATGATAAAGCTGATAATTAGTAAAAGTACATCATAATATAATACAATTGGAAAATTGAAGAATAGCCACTCAATATTTTATCTCAGGCATAAAATGTACAAAGAACCAGCTTATTTTCCTTGATAAGCCAGAAGTTTTTCATCAAAGTGATTATTTTCATTCATCCCCATTTCACCTTTTCAGCCTCAAATGGGCATTGAGAAAGTATCTACTGTCATTATTTCCTCACAGAGAAAAATGGAGTTACTAAGCTATCTTTCTGAGCTTTGAGCTCTTCAAATAATTTATTTCAACAGTAAGAGGTACAAAAGGGTAAAGAGTGATGGTAAAAAGCCTCTCGATTATTATCATCTTCACAAGCTTCCGCTTTTAAACAGATCAATGGATTTCGTACAGAGGAACCAAAGCCAAGCAGCATTAGAAGACTCCAAAAAAGGGATGAAGAGAAAGAAAATAGGAAGTAGTAAAAAAACAACAAACTAAAGTACTTGCCTCCACTGTGACCTTCCTTGCATCCAGCAAATCAGCTTTGTTCCCAGCAAGAGCCATAACCATATTTGGATTGCCTTGTCACCAAAAGAAACAAGAATATAATAAATAAGAAATTACCACTTTACAACAATATGACAAATTCAAATAAAAGAAATGAACATAAAAAAGGATAATGAAGAAATGACAATCCATAAATAGTCTAGATAAACACATCCAGCTCAAAATCCAGAATTCATTCCTAATAAGCATGATAACTAACGAAAAAATGCTGCCTGATGATAACATTAAGAATAAAACCCCTACTATGGGAGGCTTAAAATATGATTCACTACCTTGTGCTTGAAGCTCTTGGACCCATTTCTTAGCCCGCTCAAATGAGGCCTACAAAAGAATAAATAATAAAAAATCAAAGAATTTTCTTTAACTTTCACAATCCATCAATTCATTACACGGTTAAATGTAGCAAATGAATACAAAAAACTGCAATGAATACAAACAGAGCAATGTTCAGAACAATCTTCTTCAGCTAAAGAATCTTATATTTACAGCATGTTGTTCTACGATTTACCCCTCAATAACCAACTTTAGATAACAGTACAACCTTCTAGAAACTTATCTGAAACCAATTCCATAGACAAAAACAGATGCTTGTTTTTGCTTTAAATGTTGCAGAATAAAATTTCATGTGGAAGAAGAAAAAAAGGGACAAGGGCGGAAATTGATTTTTTTTTCCTTCTTTAAGGCAAAACAAATAAAGGCAACAGTGAGAATTGACACTCCATAAAAGACTTTGAATAGGTAATCAAGATCCAATATGTAACATGCTCTATCATGTCAGGTTTAGATGTCAACAGAGAAGGTAACCCCCAATAGAAGCATGTTCTGTATTTCATCTCTCATATCTAGTTCCTTTTAAGCAAGTTAGAGGGGAGGCAAGAGGCTTAATCCTCGAGACTCAACTCCTCAAGTCTCAAGGATTACAAAGCTCTTTTCTATATGTATTACACCTTACATTTTCAAACAATGAGCAGTTCGAAGATTCCATATCCTAATGGGAAATAAATTCATTGGCACACACTTGCCTGATTTGTTATATCATAGACAATAATGGCTGCAGCAGCTCCTCTGTAGTACATTGGTGCCAAGCTATGGTACCTCTCTTGACCTGCTGTATCCCAAATCTCAAACTTTACAGTGGCATCATTTACAGCCAATGTTTGTGAGAAAAAGGCAGCGCCTATAGTTGATTCCTAAAAAAAATTATATAAAAAAAATCAAGCTCTTGAAACCAAAAGGGGAAGGTTCACTAGCAATTATATGTCGTCCAAAATACCTGAAATTCAACAAATTGCCCTTTAACAAAGCGCAACACAAGACTAGACTTTCCAGCTCCAACATCTCCAAGCAACACCTAAAGCATAAAGCACAAACAAACATCAATGAAAACCAAATTTCAGAAAAATAAATACAAAAAATAAATCAAAACATGGTAATCAAACATACAATTAATCATCAAAGTTCTAAACAACACTAGCACCAGCAACTAATGAATGAAACACAATTGCAAATCAAGACCACATCACAATTATACATCATAATACAGCACAAGGAAGCAATACTACTTGTCGAAGTAAATCTACATGAATTATTTTGCAAATGAAACAAAGCCAAAATGTAACTTGCCTTAAAACTCATTCAATACTAGTAACCATCATGTTAATCAAACATTTGACTAAACATGGAAACTCATAACAACACCATCACCATAAACAAACTAAAAAGATAAACGATAAAATAAGCTCCATGTTTAGGAATTAATGAATAAACATAATTCTTATATGAATTTCGCTGATTTAAAATTAAATTTCAAAGCAAACCCACATCAGAATTTTCCGTCAAGATTAAGCAAAACAATCGGTATCAATATACAAAGTAAACCCACATCAGAACATGCAGAATTCTGATCATAATTCTCAAAAATTAAACAAACCCACATCAAAATTCGCCTAAAAAACCACAAAACAAATCATCAAGAAAAATTCCAAAAAATTGAGACAGACCCATCTGAGAATCAACCAAAATAAAGTCAAAATTACGAAAAGCTAACCAATTTGGCATTGATGTTTTTGTTTCCGGTGGTCGCCATGAGGACTAGATCAAAATCAGATCAAAAAAAAAATGAAGAAAGAAAATTAGGAAAATTGTGAGGGTTGACGCGGAAACAGAAAGGTTAAAGGGCAAATGGGAAATGGGAAATGGGAAGGTTCCTCAACACCAACCCTTCGTCTCTTCTTTCTCTCTCTTAAAGAATTCTCGAGGTACACGAAAGCGATAGCTTTTATTTTATTTTATTTTATTTATTGTTTTAAATTTTTAATAAAAAATGAAAATGTTTATTGACAGTAATAATTACTATTATTATTATGTTTCCTTATTAATTATAATCTTTGAATTTTTATTTTTTTTAAATAAACTATTTGAAGGGTATTTTGATAATTTTTTTTAAATAATTGGTGACAAAACTTAAGGCTGTCCTTAATAATTTTTTGAAAAATATATATAATTTGGGAAATTGTTGAAAAAAAAAAATTATTTTAGTAAATTTTTTTCTTGCAATAATACAATTTATATTCGTTTAGGTAAGAAAATAATCTTAAATGTTTGAAATAAAAATTTAATTCTTCACAATTCACATACTCAATAACATAATTATTGAACATCTCTACTATGACAAAAGTCTTAAATACGACGATAGTCAATATATACAAACAGTATTCAATATATGTACCAACTATATCATCGAATAGGTAAAATATTTACACTTATCAATGAGAATGGTGTTGAGATATGATATTTTAGGGTCCGTTTGTTTTATTATTTTGGATAGAATTTTGGAAATAATATTGGGTAGTTGAATAAGGGAGTATTACAAGGTAAAATTTAAAAATTTATAAAAAAAAACCCCTTAGGTTTGCTAATTTAATAAACACCCCAATATATTAAAATATTATAAAATAACAAAAACACCCCTACCACCTGCAATGCCAGATTCCAGCTACCACCGTCGGAATCTGGCTGAAAAATTTCGTAACGACACATACCGGTCAGATTTGGCGGGTATTCGATCGATATGGCCTTTTTGGCCAGATCCACCACGGATCTGACCGAAAAATGCCAGATTTACGGCCAAATGTGGTTGTCGACGGCCCAAAAAGTCTATCTTTGGCCGTCAACGACAGCCAAAGATATGGCCGTCGTTGTCTGTCAACGATGGCCAAGATTTGGCCGTCAGATCAGTGAATTACCAGCCATTTTCAGTGATGGTGTAGACCATTATATCAGATTCCGGCTACCACCGGCGGTGGTTGTCAGAATCTGGCAAGTATTGGTGGATGGGGGTGTTTTTGTTAATTTTTAAACTTTTTTTCTGGGGATACTGATGAAATTAATAAACGTAAAAGGTCTAAAAGTAATTAAAAAAATAGACTAATATTTCTTAAATAATGTGTCAAACAATATTTGGGGAATGGGATTGGGAATATAAGTATAAATAATAAGCCAAACGGAGCCTTAATTATTTTTTAGGTGGATTATTAATTTTTCATAAATGGGGTTAATTTTTTTTTTTTTTCCATAAAATCGATCCATCAAATTATGGTATCTGTATTAAGCTATTTAGTTAGTCAATTAATGTGATTAGCTTATGAAAGTGTTTAATAATTATAAAGATACTTATTTTTTTAATTATGTCAACAAGTTTAGGGGAGATTTAGCTTAGTGTATAAATATTATTCTTTTATTTTTTAAGAATAATATAAACAATATACTTTAACATCTACATCTGTCGGTAGAAATTTGTTGAAACATTGTATTTGCAGAAAAAAGAAAAACCTTTATAATATATATATATATATTTTTCTTTATATATATAGATGTTCGGATATTAATTTTAATTTTCTCAGGATATTCATATGAAATAATATTTAAATTTAAGAAAATAAATTTAATAATATTTAATTATGTCCCGATTAATATGAGGACACATTTACAAGAGAATTACTATGTATATGTATAAGGAGATTGTCAATTTAAAACCACTTCTGAAAAATGATGGCAAATGGCCACAAAGTTCAAAACCCATCAAAAGGACCTGTATACCAAGGCTAAATCGGAAATTTCATTGTGATAATTAAAGTCAAATATTTTTAAAATTGAAACACATCATCAAAACTCTATTTTTTACCGATGCCATCTATCCATTGGTCAAATAATTATATTTCTTTCAAGTCTAAGTTTAAGACATGTTCCCCAGACCTAGACCTAGACGCCCAAAAACAAAAAACAAAAAAAAAAAAAAAAAATGGACGTAGGACTCCCCCAAATCTATAACAACTGACAAGTCTATTTGGACCGGGCGGGTCTATATGTTTGCGGGTAAAATTGTCATCCTAAAATTGAAAACTCAATTATATAAAGGATGCATATGCAAGCAAAAATAGAGTTAACAACATGTTCCCACCCAAAAAAAATTTAAATGACATTTTTCCACCCTCAAACCTTTAAAACATTCTTACTAGCCAGATAATATGTTTCCCTCTGATTTGGGTGAGAAATATAGTGATTTACGAAAAAAAAACCCTCTTTTTAGTCTCTTCTATTGCTTCTCTTCTTAGCCTCTTCCCTTGCCAACAATTGTCGCCGATGTTGGGGGAGCATCGGCGACCAGAAAATATTGCAAATAACCATTCCTCAATTGTCTTTCAACCCAACAAACACACAAATCGAATGAATCAATCCCAATTAATCCAATTAAAACTCAAAAAACCCTAGGGTGGGGGAGCTTCAATTGTTGGCGATTGGTGAGCAAACGGGATCTAGGATGTTGGGCTTTTGGAGGGGAAGATCCAAGGAATCGATTGGTGGTGGTAGGGACGATTTTTGGCATCGAAAATCGGCTTGAAATTCGAAAGGTCATGCGGTGCACGACCAACCATCGGCGAGCAAGGGACGATGATGGAGGTAAGGGTTTTGTAAAGTGGGTTGTAGGGAGTGTGATGGTGGTGTCTGAGGGAATTTATGGCAAAGAAATCGACCAGAAAATGGAGGCGATGGGTTTTATAGAGTTGGTTGTGCGAATGGAGGTAATGGTGGGATATGGTGAGTGATGACGGTAAATGGCTGCTAACATGCACCATCTCTTGCTAACGTGCATCGTTCTTCTTCTCTGACAGCCAATGTTTGTTGATCATTCTGCCCTCATTAATAATGGACTTTTGATTATTTTACCTTCCTGACAACAAAAGCTACTAACAAAATTATGTATTGAGTACTGAAATTGTATTTAAAAAGTGGGTGGGTATGATGTGCTATTTTTTTGGTGGGAACATGTTGTTAACTCGCAAAAATAAATAGTCTTCATTTATTGGTAAGCGGTTAGGTAAAGAGCACATAAACTTAATGAGCCATTTGCAACCTTCATCTTTGTTCATGTTAATTAGTGTTTCTTCAAAACTATATTATTAACAAAAATCCCTTAAAACACATTATATTTATCGATTAATTATTGATTTACGAGCGATATTGAAAGGTTTAAGAAAAAAGAAGATAGTGTATATGAGTGTTAGGCCAAATGNCGAACGAGCTTATTATTAATCGAACGAACACGAACGAGCTTATTATTAATCGAACGAACACGAACGAGCTTATTATTAATCGAACGAACACGAACACACATCTTGTGTTCGTTCGAACACAAACAATTGAACATGCTTATCGAACGATTTTCGAACGGGCCTGTTCGTTCATGTTCGGTTCGATTGCAGACCTACGTAGGACTCCCCCAAATCAATGACAAGTCTATTTGGACTAGGCGGGTTTGTATGTTTGCGGGTAAAATTGTCATCCTAAAATTGAAAACTCAATTATATAAAGGGTGCATATGCAAGCAAAAATAGAGTTAATGACATTTCCCACCCAAAAAAAAGTTTCATTGACATTTTTCCACCCTCGAACCTTTAAACACCCTCTTACAAGCCAAATAATATGTTTCCCTCTGATTTGGGTGGAAAATATAGTGATTTACGAAAAAGCCCTCTTCTTAGCCTCTTCCCTTGCCAGCAATTGCCGCCCACGTTGGGGAGCGCCAACGACCAGAAAATATTGCAAATAAACATTCCTCAATTGTCTTTCAACCCAACAAACACACAAATCGAATGAATCAGTTCCAATTAATCCAATTAAAACTCAAAAAAACCCTAGGGTGGGGGAGCTTCAATCGTCGGCACTTGGTGAGCAAACGAGATCTAGGATGTTGAGGCTTTTGGAGAGGAAGATCCAAGGAATCTATTGGTGGTGGCAGGGACAATTTTTGGCACTGGAAACGATCGAAAATCGGCTTGGAAGTCGAAAGGTCATGCGGTGCACGGTCGGCCATCGGTGAGCAAGGGACGATGATGGAGGTAAAGGTTTTGTAGAGTGGGTTGTGGGGACTGGGGAGTGTGCTGGTGGTGTCCGGGGGAATTCATGGCAAAGAAATCGATCGGAAAATGGAGGCGATGGGTTTTGTAGAGTTGGTCCTGCGAATGGAGGTGGTGGTGGGAAATGGTGAGTGATGACAGTAATGGAGGCTTCGGCTTTGTAAAGCAGGTGATGAGGATTCTATGAGTGGTTTCAGAAGTGATTTTGAACATTGAGATTGGTCGAAAAATGACAAAAAATGCCAATTGTGACGCTGCTAACATGCATCATCTCTTGCTAACGTGCGTCGTTCTTCTTCTCCGACAGTCAATGTTTGTTGATCATTTTGCCCTCATTAATAATGGACTTTTGACTATTTTACCCTTCTTGACAACAAAAATTATTAACAAAATTATGTTTTGAGTACTAAAATGGTATTTAAAAAGTTGGTGGATATGAATTTGTCGATGTGCTATTTTTTGGGTGGGAACATGTTGTTAATTCGCAAAAATAAATGGTCTTCTTCATTTATTGGTAAGCGGTTAGGTAAAGAGCATACAAACTTAATGAGCCACTTGCAACCTTTATCTTTGTTCATGTTAATTAATGTTTCTTCAAAACTATATTATTAACAAAAATCCCTTAAAATACATTATATTTATTGATTAATTATTGATTTACGAGCGATATTGAAAGGTTTAAGAAAAAAGAAGAGATAGTGTACATGATTGTTAGGCCAAATGAGAGTAAACTTAAAAAGATTAGGATAGATTCTCATATTGGTTTGCGTCCAAAAAAAAAAAAAAAAAAAAAAAGAGCATTTTTAAACAACTTTGTTTTATGTTAAGAACGACGAACCAATCATAAGACTTACTTTAGCATGTGTGACATACACTTATTATATTATTAATTAATTGTAGAATTTGTGCAATCAAATTTTTTATCAAGATGCGGCCACGTTGGACAAAAAATATTGATTCCGTGAATGGACGGTCGTCCATCTTACATAATCGACTGTCTATACGTTATAGACGACTGTTCATCACGAATAAATGATTGTCCACGATAATATTAATAGACTCTCGTCTATATAATATGGACGGGTGTTAATTTACTATAGACGTATGGATGCCCATCCAAAAAAGTTTAAAAACTAATATAAACAGGCGTCCATATATAATGGACAGTCGTCCGTGTAAGATGGACGGCTGTCCATATCCAAATTCTAGTTTAATAAAAAAATTTCTTTAAAAAATTCTACATTGTAAATACTTTTTATCAATCTCTCTTTCTTTGCATTTTTTTATAAATTAAAAAAAAAAATTATTTGAGTATGAACACTAGTCGATCTCATTTGGATGGCCATCCATTGTATATGGATGACCATACTCATTAGATGGACTAGCGTCCATGCTTTTTACTTTAAAAATCAAATTTTTTTTCCTTTATTTCATCTAGAAGTTTTGTGCTTTAAAAATGAATATTTCATCTAAACATTTTGACTTAGACAAGCGATAGTTTTTTATAAATGAAAAAGAAATTGTAAATTTAAAAAAAAAAATTATTTGAGATGGACGATACCATGGTAAAAGGACTACTGGCCATAATATATGGACAGGAGTCCATTGATATTTCCTGGACTCTCGTCTATTTATGATGAACGATCGTCTATAAGATATGGACATACGTCCATAATTGTTGGACAATCGTTTATTCACTGAATACCTGTGTTGTGTCCTAATTGACCACATCTGAGTTAGATGCCAAATAGATTGGTGTAAAATTTCGGTAACAACATTCGGTGTCCGTATATATATAAAGTTGCATAGAAAATTTTCTCGTCCGGAATAAATTAAACTCTAATTTCTTTCTTTCTCTCTCTCCATTACTCTTTTTGATTATATTTAAATGATCTTTTCAACTTTGATGCCAAAAATGGTAATTTGATAAACTAGGATTATTTTAGTCTCAATTGATTAATTAATTAATTGATTTCCAATACTTTATGACAAAACCCATGGGAGAATTTCCAAAAAGACAAAAGAAAATTAAAAAGGAAAAAGGAAAACAAAAAAGGTCTTTGTTTGTTCTATTGATAGTAAGGGTGGTGAGAGCCCAGAGAGCTGTAAAAATGTAAGAAAAGAGAGTAATTTTACAGGCTTTAATTCCTGCTTTTGCCTTTAAAACAAACAGAAAAAAAGGAACCTTAATAATTATAACAATTTTAGGATACCATACCGGTAATGTTACCAGCATGGTACAAATTTGGATTCAAGATCTATGGCTTAAGTTTCATTTTCAAAAGTAAACATTATTAGATTTAATAATATTATTATTAAATGTATCCAATGACGTAGTTAGGATTCTGATTGAAATTAATGTTAGAGCAAGATAAAAAATTTCTACTCCAAGGATTAATACGAACACCCGATCATTATTGTACAAAAGAAAAAAATTAGTTTCAAATAATGTTTTAAAGTGATTTTAACTTTTAACTAGATCATTGAAGAGATTCAATGGTCTAATAGGATAGGATATCCTGAACAACATATAAACCCGACCGAAATAACAACTCTCTATTCCGAGGATCCAACAAGGCCGGTATGGTAAAGGGCCAGTACAGGCAGCCAGTAATGAAACATAGGGCATTGGTCACAGTGAATGATAGAGTCCAGAAAGGGGAAAGGGAAACTTTAGTACACAGAGGGCTCTTTGTCAGAAAATTACAGCAAGGCTACCCAATTAGTCAATAATGACTCTCTCTCTCTCTCTCTCTCTCTGGATTCTTATGAGTGGAAATTAAATAAAACTAAAATTAAAAAAAGTCCATAACTTTTGTCACAAGGGAATACTATGCAAGACTGACCCCAATAATGGCACCCAAAATAAAAAAAAATAAAAAAAAGGGGTAATTTCGTATTTTCACTTCCCACATATCCTTATTCACAGATCATTGACTGGTCTCCCCTTTGACCAGTCTCACACAACTCCTGCTCTTTGCTCAGCCTCTCTGCAGCATTTTTACCTCACTATTTTCTTCCTCTTAATGATATGATTCTCTTCTTTCCCCACTTCCCTTCTCATGGGCGTGTGGTGTTTACGTGTTTTAGACTATGATCATCACCTAATTAAGATAGAGAGATACTAACATTACAAAGGGAAATATAAAGAAGGGTATACAAAGGTAAATTTCACCTTTGATCTTTATGATTTTTTCTCTCTCTTTTTTTCCCTTTTTTCAATGATAGGATTTGTCTTTGTATGTCCCTCTTTATATTTCTCTTTATACAGCTAACATTTCTCATTAAGATTTGTTTGAGTGCTTAATTAGGTTCTAGGTGTTTCTGAAATACTGACATTTGTATTATGAGACAATAAAGATCACTCTACCGATGTGTAGTTATATTCACATCGAAAAGGGTTTTGTCATATTAGTTAATAGTCTTTTATAATCAAATATTTCAAAATAAACATTATATAAAATCTCATTATTAGACATATCATGTTAATGCCAATTAGACACATAAGAAAAAATTAGTGTACATATAGTCTAATTTTATCATACAATAAATACTATGGTATCTCGGCCAAACTTTTATGTACTATTTTGATCACTAAATATTACCTTCTTAAGATATTACATACATTTAATTTGCTAATGACTATAATTAACATACATATATGTGTAAGACTTGTGATATATTACAAGATGGGTTAGAATGATTTGGTTTGTGCATTTTTTATGAAATAACTTATTCTCAATCTTTTATACACAGATTAAATGGGGTTTGAATACCTAGACTTACCTCGTTTATCTTGACCTCTCCAGATCAAAATATATAATTACACAATTAATTTCTTTATCCCCTCATTAATGTCATCAAACAAAACCAGTATCAAAACCTTATTAACATAAAAATTAAGGCGCGTGGAGTTGAGATATTCCATGAAAATGCTTGACTATTTGCAGAATCTATCTCCATATTTTATTCTTGGTTGTTGTATGAAGCTTCAAGATTTCAGCACAAATTGGGTCTCTTAAACTGCCATGCAAAAATTTTATAAATGAGAGAAGAAATTAGGTCATGTTATCTATCCGGCCGACATGAATTCTTAAATAATCGATAACATTATATTAAGACGAACCCTGATTAGGGTTTAAGAGATATAACATGAATATATGAAGAGATAACATGAAAATGGATATGGAATTAAAACATATGGGATTAATTATCAATAATGTATGTACAATAAAATGGGATTAAGCCCTCTCTCTCTGACTGAAACTATCTTAAGAGATTGAATAGATAATGTTTGCTAATAATTACTTGAAGATGAAGAAAATGGTGATTATTTTGGAGGTGATGAAGAAGAAGATTGCTGGTTCTTGTTGGAAGCCAAAGCAAGAATGGAATTAGCAAGCTTGTTAATGGCATCAACAAGGCCATTAATCCCTTCCTTGTTAATCTCAGACTTTGATTCTTCAATCCTGAGTCTTCTCTCTTGGAGACTTACAAGATCTTTGTGTCTTCTCTCCTCCCTCTCTTCACAGGCCTGAAGCGCTTCTGCTATAATGGAAGCACTTTTGGAAATAGCTGTGCCCACTTCATGAGAAGCGCTTCCACTTGCAGTACTTGTTCCCTCTCCTCCATTTCTCCTCCTCCTTTTTGCAGGTGAGTCTGAATACTCACTTGTATCGGAATCTGAGTGATGAGATTGTGGTGGTTGATTAGCTGGATGTTGTGGAGGAGGCGGCGGCAGCGGCGGCGGAAGAGGTAGGGGTAAAATAGGAACAGGAGATGGAGATGAAATTTGTTGTTGGTGGTGTTGCAAGAGAGGGGGCAAAGAATGGTGATGAAGTACAGTAAGAGGCCTCTCCACCACATGATATGAAGGTGACCCACTTAACATTACTCTTTGACCTGATCCTTTCTTCTCCACCACCTCCACTAGTGCTTCATATATCTGAAACAACATGTTGCTTGGCAAATTCTTTTCTTTTCTCTGATTCTTCTCCATCTTCCAATAAGATTGTTGTAGATGTTGTTGTTGAGGTCGTGGTTCTCCATCTCCTTTTTGAGATTCTGCAACTTTTCTTTCATAATCTCTCACTTTCTTGTAGTCTCTCATGAGATTATCCCACTTGTCATTGCATTGGTTTTGACTCCTCAAACACCCTTTTCTCCAACAGTAATCTTCAACCCATTTCCATCTCAGCTCAGCTGGTTTGTTGCTTCTTCCTTCACTACTTTGATGATGATCACCATGACCACTACTTCTCTTCATTCTCCTCTCATCATCCATCTGTTTTGCCTCTATCAATACCATGGTCTCCGCCACTGACCAGTTCCCTTTTCTGTATTCTCTCATACCACCACTACTACCACAACCTTGATCGGCCATTTCTTCCAAAATGCATGCAAATAAGAAAAAGAAAAGAAAAAAAAGATTAAAAGAACAAGAGATTGAGAGAAGCTTGAGTAAGTTTTTTAAAGAAGAGGAAGAAAGAAAGAAAGAAAGAGAGGGCCGATGGGCCTTTGTCTATGCTTCTTTTAGGAGAATTTGATTTGATATAGGGTGTTGAAACCAGTCAAATCTCAATAATGTTTGCTAATTTAGGCAAAGGGGTATCAATGCATATAGCTCAAAGAGAAGATAGACGATGATCATCTTCTTCTTTTTATCTTTTGATGGTGGATATCCTTAAACTTGACAATCTTTTTTATGTTTTGAGATGAACATAACTTCGAAAAAAATAATCTTAATAATAAAGGTGAAAGATGGTTTCAAATCCAAAACCACTCATTCAAACCACACTTTGTGAGGGAAAGGAAATCTATAGGGAGAGAGAGAGAGAAAGGGTATCATTATAAGAAAAGGCCAAGCAAATCCATTCAAACTGACATTTCTACAAGCCCCGAAAAATTTTTACAGAGAGAGAAAGAGAGAGAGAGAGAGAGAGAAAGAGAGGAGGGAGATTGGGCAGGGGAGGTGGGAGAGAAAAAGATACGGTGTTTGGAGGAATAGAAAAGAGAATTGTGAAGATGAGTTCTTCCACTGCCTACACACGTGGTTTCTTCTCTAATCATCATACTCTTTTCCTTTTGTATTGTTGTTTTTCATGCATTTAATTTCACTGACTTTGGTCACAGATTTTTTGTTCCATTCATGGAGATTGTATTGTATGTACAATCTCTTTTAAAATTATATGGTTGTATTTTGATATATCAACGTACAATTCGTAAACTACTAAAATGAAAAACTCTTAAATTTATCTGTATAATACTGTATTGTAATCAAAACCCTGTTAACTATTTTATGTGTCCCAATAATTTATTCAAAGACGTCAGAGTGAAATTTTTTTTTTCTAATTTTTTATAATTTGATATGAAAAATTGAAAGTGCTGAAATTTACTTTTATCATGTTAATTATATAATATTAGGGAAAGAAAGGTTAAAAAATATAATAAATAATGAGAAGATGAAGATAAGAAAATCTGTATTAAAAGACTAAATAACATGACTAAGATTCTAAGAACACACTAATCATTTGGGTTAGTCTCACAATCTCATGCTACTACTTTTATAATTTACAAATGTCAGAAAAATAATTTATTATTAAAAAACATGATAGCCCCAAAACTTTAGAAAATAGCAAAAGTAACCCCATTTTTTGGCATGTATTTATTTATGAAGAGGACAGTTTTGTCCTTTTAGAGATAGAGAGATGTCAATTTCGTCTTTTGAGGAAGGACATTTAAAAGCCTAGATGCCATGTCAGCAAACTTTTTTAACACATTTTTAGAATTTGAATCTGCCAGCTAGGACATGAAGGAGTTGTACAAAGTTCAGAATCAGTTTGACTAGGGCTTGACCAAAGAATACAACCCATGGGGTCACCTTAACCCCCTTGACTTGTCCCTTTCGTTTTTGGTTTTGGACTCTAGCCTGCCCCCACCCCCACGTCCCCACGTCCCCCCTCCCTCCCTCCCTCCCTCCCCAATTTTATTTTATTTTTTTTCAAAATTTTACTTCAAGTTTCCTCAATTTTACTCACTTTATTATTCGCTAAATTATTATTATATATCCACATACTTGACTAACTTGAAACGCACCCATGATTAATTAAAAGTAAATTTTATTAAAAGGTTTCGAGATTATTAACCTCGTTAGATTAATTGTTAAAACCCTTTTTAATTATATCAAGTATTTATAGGTTTTTTTTTTTTTTTTTATCTCAAGAGTTTTTAATTTTTTTAGAGCATTTAATAGTTCTAGAAAATCGTTGAAATGAGTAACCGCGTATATTTCTAATAATAACCCTTGTTAAGTAAAAGGTTCAAATAAATTTGTTATTATGGAGTGGCTTAATTTCCTACAATATTCATACGATGTCAAGAACAAAATAATATGTAAAATCCAACATAAGATTCAAAATATATGTGTGTGAGTGAAATTTAATTTAATCTTATAATTATATCAATTCAAATTTTAGAAAAAACCTAAATGTTAGTAGGTGGGTACATAGTAGTATCCATATATATGGTAGTATATAATGAGGCCGTGCATTATTAGAGGCAATTAATGAAAGATTGATGAGTTAATTAAATGTAATTTGATTGAGTGAAGTATTGGTCCAAAATTGAATGATTGAATAGAGACACAATGGGCATTAAATTAAGGGTAGGACCCAAATGGTCAGAAAATTGCACTAGTGATGAAGATAGGTGAGTGAAGAGTGAAATTGAAATGTCCAAACCACCCATTTGCATATGCACACCAACCACTCATTCACTCACTCACTTCCATCAATAAAAACAATTTTGCTTCTTGCTATGCACCATTGATTAATTCATGTCATGTATGATTTTAAGTTTTGTGAAATTCAATATTGATTAATTTGCTTCTTGGGTTCATGCCAATTCATCTCATTTTTATAGTTATTGTGTGAATATAAAATATTTCTTGACTTTGCTTTATTAACCTGAATTCAAAACTAGGGTCTCTTACGAATTTCCTTTAGTTGATAATTCATAGCAATTCATTGTCATAATCCTTTTAAAAATTTTCTCGAATTTCCTTTACAAGCTCGAGTTTGAACTAAATCCCTACAATCTTTTAAGAAGTATAAAACAATAATCATAAACTATGTCACTACGAGAAAAACCCCATTTCTTAACAGAATGAGTTGACATATTTTTTTGACCGTTCTAAAAAACTGTCAAGAATTGTAATTTTTAACAGATTCAAGAGTTTGAAATAATCTTTAACCATTTTAAATGATGTTTAAAGTTATTAACTATCAAGAAATTGATTAAAAATAAATTTTGCAATCTTGTTATTCATTGTTGTAGTCTCAATCATTGACAATTTTTAACTGACAAGAATTAAGTATATAACAAACAAACAAAAAAAATTTGCCTAAAACTTTTCCCACCCATTTTTCATTAATTATTCTCACAATTTTTTCCCTAAAACTTATGCTTATCCTCTATTTCACTTATTTGTGCAAACCCTCGTAGTCGACTTGCTTTTGGCACTGGAAAAAAAGTTATTGTTTCTACCACTGCCGTTCAGTAGACAACAACTCACTCATTGACTTTGGCGCTTACTCTATGTCTGTTTCAATGAAGATTGTTAACTTTGGTGAGTTTTTGGCGAGGGGTATCCTGAACACCCAAATGTAAGGGTGTTTAGAAAAATATAGAAACTTAATCGAACTGGGAACCGAACCAATTTTCCGTTTATCCGGAAAACCAATTCGGTTTTGGTCCACAGAAATACAAAAAAAACAAATTTCTTATTTTATTAAAAAAATTAAAGAGTAAACAATTTTTCCTTAAAATTTAAAAGCAAACAAATTAAAAAGCCCCTAAATCCTTACGATTAAAGAAAAACAAAATCCCAAACCCGATTTTATGGAAAAAAGAGTAACCAATTTTGCCCAGGAATTGTTTGAATCCTTAAAAATAAAAAAAGTAAACCTAATTATACAAAATTCCCAAACAAATTTTACCCTAAGACGCAAAGCACTCTCCACTCCGTTCGCATCTTCTTCTTCATTGTTTCCCTGAAATATGTTCTTCTCCAGTTGTCCTTGTCAGTTTGACTGTCGTTCGTCGAACCTCATCTGTTCTCAATCTTTTCATGGCCGGCTTCTATGCCAAACGCTCTTACAATAGCCAGCAACCACTCTTTGTCAGTCCTCTATAAAAGGTATTTCAGTCTTCTTCAATTTGTTTCTACCTATTTGCTTCTTTAATTTGTTTGTGGAAGTGTTGATTCTCGGCTGCTTAATAGAATGCTGTCATTTGATTTGCGTTCATGCTGTCTCACAATCTCAACAAGCAACTCAAAGAACAGCACACACCCTGTCTCTAGCAATTAATTCTCCAACTCTTTCACCATTTCATCTCAATTTTTCTTCTTTTATTCTCTTCTTTTCAAATTCGTCAGCAATTTGACTGGATCTTCTTTTACCAAAATCTTTGTGCTTCTTGCAATTGTACCTGTAAATTGCACATCTTCTTTTTTATATTTGTTCTCACTGCTTCATTCATTGATTGATTTACATTTTATTTTGTTTTCAGACTTCAATACTTCTGCGACAGTCCTTCAACTCTTATCACTCAGTTGGCAAATTAAATTTAAATTACCAAGCTCTTGTAGAATCTCTGAACAAACCAGAACTTTTTTCACTAGACGAATTTTACCGTAACGTACTTCTCGATACCAACTCCGCCGCCTTATCCACCACTTCCTCCACCACCGCAACCACCACGAGTGCCACCATTACCGACAACCTCTTTCATTATTTATGGACCTTTTTTTCTCTCCTCAAAGTCAACCTCTTTGCCAAGTTGACCACCTATGATTTCTCCGCTCGCACCCCCTCTTGGATGCGCGAGTTTCTTGGCTTTGTCGGCTCTTACTCCTTCCCCTTGTTGCCGGACACTCTCGAATTAAAGGTTCAAGAGAACGTCAAACGATATGCCAGAAATTATGCTACTTTATTTATTCACTTCTTTGCCTACTTCTTGTAAGAATATTTATTCTCTTTCTCTTTGTTTGTGTTTGTATACATATAGGTTCTTGTTTAGTTCCTTGTGGTCGTTGAGGAAAGTGGTGAAAGTTTCGAAATTGTGTGTCTTCATGAGTAAAATTTTATTTTTTTTTGGTAATTTTATCATTTCTATCTTGGGTATTAGAATGTGAAGATTGAAATTTAATGTTAATATGGTATCTTTCTCTCCTTTTTATGTTAATTTATGTGATTTTTGTTTTTTTTATTCGTTTAGTTAGACTTTCTTTGTCTTGGTGATTCCAGGTACCAGGTGCCACTGGCTCTTCTTGGGTTGATCTCAAGTTTGGCGATTTGGGATTTGTTCAAGTTCTGTAGTGATAAATGGAAATTTGATTGATATCATGTGATTTGGCAAGTTCTGGTTCGTATTGCACAATGCGGTGAGTTATCATATCTTCCATAAATGGCTGCCTTCAATGAGAGAACTTGATGTGGTCTTCTCTTCATCATCATATATTGATGCCATAGTAACGAACTCTTGTACTTTCAGTTATGGAACTTAATTTAGGACTTCATATCTGGTTATGGAGTTGTGAAATTTAAGAAAAGTAACCATGTTTATGGGGCAGCTGAGGGCATAGTTAATGTTAGTGCATAACTTTCTTATTGGGATACAATATGGACTATTGTTCTTTGTGTTTTGATTAAGGGTTAAAATTTTGTAGATTTTGGTTTTGTTAGAAAGAATGCTAGTGGAGTTCTGGTTAGGAAGTAAAGGACTTTAAAAATTAATATAATAGAAAGAATCCATAAAGCTAACAGAAACAAATGAGATGAGACAAGAAAAGTATAGGCTCCACTAATCACTTCTTGAGAAAAAATCGCACTTGAGGGGGAAGTATGTTATGTTCAAGTGTCAAAGTCTAGGACGGTCACTATCTAGAATAAACATTTTGGTTTGACAATTTTACTAAGAATTTTCTGACTACAAAATAAGCAAGAAAGGTTGTACACACTAGCATTTTACAGGAAATCATAGTTATGATTCATGATCCATTGGCTCTCATTATGGATCAGTGTAATATAATCTGAGATGTTATTTATATGGTGTTAATATTTTCTTCATTAGCTATAGCTACAAACTAGTCTTTGGTTGAATAACTTACACTTATCTCATAGTTATGATTTCGTGTCTTGTATTTTACATATAAATTCTTTAATATATAAGTATAGATTATCTTCCTCTCAACTAATTTCTACATATATAGAAATTATGCTTAGATGGTGATTGAATATTTATACTCATAGGTGGAGTTTAGATGAGGGTTTTTGAATTGCATAAACAGAGGTAGAAATCACTGTTAGTGTTTTACCTACAGGTCTTGTTGACTCCTACTCATCTAGCTATTGTCATGGAATATGCGACTGGTAGCGAACTCTTTGCCAGAATATGCAGTGCTGGTCGGTTTAGTGAAGACGAGGTTTTATTATGAAGCTTGCTTCTTTAAATTACATCGTAGGTCACTTATCTCTGGTTTAATGTGTATTGTTGTGATGCAAATTGATTTTCTTAATGATTTGTTTGTTGGCAAAATCCTTTTCACAACTGGCAAGGTTTTTCTTCCAGCAGCTAATATCTGGTGTTAGCTATTGTCATGCCATGGTATGATGATATCCAAAATGTAATTTTACATCTTATGTTATGATCTCTACCTTATATACTTATTTCTTTTACTGCAAGAAATTTGTCACATGGATCTGAAGTTGGAAAACACGCTATTGGATGGAAGTCCAACACCAAGTGTTAAAATATGTGACTTTGGTTACTCTAAGGCTTATGTTTTTAGTTGAATAGCAGCACAACTCTGCTGCTTTCTTAGCAACTCTCTCCTTTTTTTCCCCCCAAAAGAAAAAAACTTAGTACTAAGGGGTTGTAAGTTATAAATTATATCTTACATTATAGTCCTTAGTTTTAACTTTCATTATTGTTTTTGCTTTACATCTTGCAGTCAGGATTGTTGCACTCACAACCTAAATCAACTATTGGAACTCTAGCATATATTGCTTTGGAGGTCCTGTCACGAAAGGAATATGATGGAAAGGTATTGAGTTTTTATTTTTCATCTGATTTTGTGTGTTCCAATAAACACTTGGTTAGAATTGCTGATGGAAGTATGGAGACATTCATGCGGATCAATAAATGATAGGAGCAATCAAATGACAATATGAACCTGTAGTTTTAAACTCCTCCATTTTGCCTGGATTCGAAATCCAGGACTTTAGACAGTCCACAAATGTGTGGAGGCCTATGCTACTAGATCCGATGGCCATTGGAAAACATGAGAAACTACATGCTTGTCACATTGGTCTCTTGTTTCTGTGGATGCTCTTATTCAAGAGCTCCTAGTGAATTCGAATGCAAAACCATATATATTATACATCAGAGGCTTTTGTAGTAGTGATTTTTGCATTTTGAGCACTTTTAAATTTCATCATAGACTTTTTAGTTTGTGCGATTTTAAAATTTGGGATATATATTTTGCTTTTCAAGTGCTTAATTACATAGGCTGCGAGTGACCTAAAACTTTTCAGTTAAAACAAGACATAAACTCTGAATTAATCATTTATTTTAATCCAAGACTTAAGATTTGAAGTCAAAAGTTGCATTTGATGTTTCTAACTTTATAACTTTCTAAGTTCTTGGATGAAGATAGATGAGTGGTCAAGGATTTCTATCTCAATTTAAGTCAAAAACTTGTATCACCAAGTCCTGTGCCTTGATTGCATGTCATAAAACATGAGATACTGTATTTATTTCATAATATTATATGTGTATTGCCACCATAATTTTACACTGCATTATTGCTCTCAAATTCCCATTAACATCTTGTTCTTTAAATTTTATCTTAGTAACACTTTTTAAGTGCATGTATTTATTTGGCCAACATATTTTTTCGCGATATCATTTGGTACTGGACTACTGGTTGACTTATGTGAAGCTTATCCTTACGGTGGATTATCTTTCTCTTTCTAATTTATTATTAACCACATGCAGGTGATGTTGCTGCCATAGGCTGGTGGGATTTGTTTATAAATTTTGGGTAAAATTTAGTGGTCTTTATAGCAATGTTTGATGATTGGAGTTATCTTTTTGTGTCGATATGAGTGTTGGAATGATTATGTATATACTTTGACAATATTACGAAAATCCCATTCATCTGTTTCCCTGACAGATTTGTTGAATGTTGAAATTTATGGTTGAATTGTGATAATTGTTATTGGTTGAGGAATATTATGAAGAATTTCATTGTATTATTCTATTATTTAATTGGTTATAAATTACAAAATAAAAATATTTAAAAAAATATATTTACAAAAAAAATCCTTGACAGTTTTACGACCATCAAGGATGAAAAATTATTATTAATAAAATTTGATTATTATTAAATTTATTTATTTTTTTCGTTAAACTTTTTTGAGATCTGTCAAGAAATTCTTGATAGCTCAAAAATGGCCGGCACCCTTTCTTGACATTGGCTTCAATGATGGGTGAAGAACTATTAAGAAACCTCTTTCTTGACAGTTATTACTCATCAAGAAAGGGGGTTTCTCTGGTAGTGTGTAGGTGATCATGAGGGGTTCTAAATCCCAAATGCACTCTTCCATCAATAATGAAAATAACAATTTTACTTTTTGCTAGCTGGACACCTTAGATTTAAATCATCTACGTTCTTAAGTTTTATGAAATTGGCTATTGATTAATTTGCTTTTGGGTTCACGCCAATTCATCTAAATGTTTTCCGAATTTCCTTTATTAACCCGCATTTGAAATTGGAATCCCTTGCAAATTTGCTCTGTTTTATCATGGCAATCCGTTGACATTAGTAGACCTTTTGAAATTGTTTTTTTTATTGATGGAAGAGTGCCTTTGGGTTTGAGAACTCTCGTGACCACCTAATTGGTTGAAGGCTATTATTTTTAGTTACCTAAAAAGATTATAGGGTATTTTAATTTCAAATCAGATTTATGTCATCTATGTTTTCAAGTTTATGAAAATGAATATTTGCTTAATGGGAAAAGTTTTATATATATATATATATATATATATATATTATATGTATATATATAATATATATTTGGTTTATTTGAAATCTGCTTGCTCTCTATATATATTTTCATGCATGATACAACTCCCATTGAGCAAGTTTTAATTACAAAAGCCTTAAAATTAGAAATTGCTCTAGATTTTAGTTAAAAAGATTTAATATTTTCAATGCCTAATCTTTAGTAAACGACTTTTCCCCACCCAAATAATGGTCTAATGACACTTTCTTACCCAAAAAGTTTTAAAATACAACTTTACTACTCAAAGCACATCTCAGTTAGTAAATTTTGTTCTGAAGAAGGGCATGATGGTCAAAAGTTCATTATAAGTAAGAGCAGAATGATCAGTTAACATTTTGCATCAAAAATCAAAATTTAAAATTCCAAAAAACGAACGGCAACGGAGAGTGGTGATTCACAATCGACGAACGAAAAGTAACAAAGTGTCAAGGTTTGAGGAGTTTTGAAGAGGGGAGGTCGAGGTTGAAAGGATGGTGGAAGATTGGATTTTGCTCGCTGCAATAGGCAGCATGGGTGCAAAAACAGTGAAACCCTAACTTGGCGATTGGCAAACGGTGGGCAAGCAGGCAGGCGTTAGGCACGTAGGTTGGGCATGTTTGGGGTAGTTCGTTGGGATCTTTCTTTGAACAATTGGTATGCCAACTTTTGAAAATGCAGTAATGGTGCAATTGGGATGATCAGCGACCAGAAAAACACACAAATCATGACAATGCAACTCAACAACTATCAATTCCAATAATCAAGCTCCGATTAAGACCAATTTAATCAAATTAGCAAAACCAATTCATCATTCAATCGAAAACCCTAGGGAGATGGAGGCAGCGAACAGTGGCTAATTATGGAGGCCAAGAATGAGAGAGGTTTTGAAGAGGGTGAGCTAGTGGTGCGGTTGGCGATGATAGGAGGAATTTCTAGTGACAAAATTGACCAGAATAGCTACAGGCGCACCAAATTGGATGAGTGGCGGGGACGGCGAACGGCGAGCTAAACATATGTGTGGTGGGAAGGGTTTTGTAGAGGAAGCCAAGGGGAGCAAACTAGAAACCAACATATTTGGCTTTGGCCAGTAGTTGAGAAAATGGGGTTTTGATCAATAAAATTGGCAAATCTGACGAGAATGGTATATTTGTCATCACAAAGATTATCACTGTATTTAAAGGAAATTATCAACAAAATATAATGTTTGGGTAGTAAAGTTGTATTTTGAAACTTTTTGGGTGGAAAAGGGTCATTAGGCCATTATTTGGGTGGGAAAAAGTTGTTTACTCCTTGATGTTTCACAAAGTCTTATATGATAAATGAATTCAACATGGAGTTAGTTTATGCCTGTCATTAAGATATTTTCATTTTTTATTCCTAAAAATATTTTTCTGAGTTTTACTCAAATGCATGATAATTGTATTTTCTATACCAAAATTAAGCTAAATTTCCTATTTTTGCTTCATTTAGATTTATTCATATTTTCTATAACCCAAAAAAAAAAAAAAAAAAAAAATCATTTGCGAAAGTTATAGCCAATGTTTTCAGACCTGACTGGTCGGAGGCTTGGTCGGGTTTTAAAGGGCTGAAAACCAAAATATACAATTAACCCGTTATGACCTGCTGTTGGACTAGGGTTATCATAGCTAACCATTAGTACAACTGGTTTTGTGCTAAAACTGGGTCACCAAAACCCTGATTCCAACTTCCTCCTTGATTTCAGCAAATTTCGATGTCGAAAATCACCTCGACCCTTCATTTGCCTCACCGGCATCTCTCTACCAAAACTCCTAACACCCTCGACCTTGGTTGCTCGCCAATCTCTGTCAGCCATCCTTTAGGGTTTCGAGATCTTTGCTTTCTTTTGGTCGTTCCCAACACCGAAAATCACCCCGACCCCTCCATTTGCCTCACCAACATCTCTCTACCAAAACCCCCAACACCTCTGACTGTACTGATCACTATCAGCCACTCCTTAGGGTTTAGCAATCTTTGCTTTTTTTGGGTCATTCTCAATGTTGAAAATCACCATAACCCCTCCATTTGCCTAACTGACATCTCCTTACCAAAACCCCCAACACCCCCGACCTTTGTCGCTTGTCGATCGCCACCAGCCACCCCCTAGGGTTTCATGATCTTTGCTTTTTTTTTTTTTTTATCGTTCCCAATGCCAAAAATACCCTCCACCTATCCATTTGCCTCACCGGCATCTTCCCACTAAACCCCCATTATCCCAAAGTTTGATTGACTACCAATCATCGTTGTCGTCACCTGTTTTCTTAGTGGTTTTTTGCCCAGATCGCAAGGGTGTGTTTGCTGGATGTCAAACCTATAGGGACTGATGCGTGATTTCTCAAGGGTGTGTATGCTAGATTTTAAACCTGCTTGATATGATGGTCAAATCACCAGTTCAATCGGTTCAACCGGTCAACCTATGACCCGATCACCTAACCAGGTCATTGATCGAGTTGGTTTTGAAAACACTGGTTATAACCTTTGTATTTTTGCCGCTTTAGTAGATAGCATAAAGAAAAAAAAGTTAATCTTCCCTAGTTTTCTGTTAACTTTAATTATCAATAAGGTATTTTTAATATTCAATAAACATATAAAGGGTATTTTTAACTTTTTGATATACTTTCACAAAATCCTGAATATTTTCTTTTCCTTTTTTATTGACGGTTGTTGACAAAATGGGGGGTTATGTGTAATTAACTTTTTTTCCTATGACAATCTGAATATGGCAAACATATGGGGTTTTCTAACAATATCTTTTATAAATGAAAATAAATATTTTTTGTTTTCTGTCTTCTTTTGGTGACTAGTTGTTTACACCTTCAAACTCAGCGTTGGCTCCCTTTGGACACCATTAAATTTTGCAAAACCAGTGGCTACTCTTGCCATGCACGAAAGAATAATCCTGATTGTTCGTTCTTAGTACACCAAAGAATATTCATTATATCCCTTTATAGATATTGAACCACTTTTCATCGGTTCATTTATGCTTTCATCCTTAAGGTTTTGAGTACATTATTTACCTCCAATACTTTATGCATGAAGAGTTTAATCTGGTTAGGTCAAACTTTTTAATAAAAAGTCTAAATTATTCTTATTGTCTTATTTACATGTTATAAGAAATGAAGAAAATACACACACACACACACATATATATATAATGAAGTATTGTGCTAAAAATGGTCCTTGTAACATGTGTTACTCTTATGAAAAATTGATTTTTTCATTTAGGTATAGTATATTTTTTACTCTTTTTTTAAATATTTTATTAATTTCTATTAATATATGTATAAGATAATAGGTCTGTTATAGACTTTTTATTGAAAACTCACATATGATTAAATTAAACTTTCATATCTTATGGGCACTAAAGGTTAGTACAATATGCTTCAAACCTTAAAGACGAAAGTAATACAAATAACCCATTTCCATCCATCTACAAGTATTAATTAATAGGATTAATGACATTAATTCGTCTCAATTATAATAAAATAAAAAAATACCCTTGGAGTTTCGGAAAAAACAAAAATTCCCTTGTCATTAAGTTTTAGATGCTAAAATAAGCGGTTATTATCAATTAAATGACACTTTCATCATAAATTTATAGTTATAGGAAACTTAATGGTTTAAGAACATCGCCAAATGACTTTTTATATGACCTAAACTCTTTATTATAAAGAATCTATTAATAAAAACAAGATTCCAATATACTCTTTATCTTTAAAATATAAAGTAGAGAGTGAGTTTGATGCTCAAATTTTACTCTCTAGCCTAATTTTAATTAATAAACTACATGCATTTTATTTATTAATTCTCTCTCTCATTAAGTCTCTTTCTTAAAAATAAAGAGTCTATTGGATTTGAATAAAAATTGAGTTCTTTATATTTAAAAATTAATGAAGATACTCTTTATTTATATGAAAGATGCTCTTCAAAATAAAGAGCACCATTGGAGATGCTCTAAAACCTTTAACTTGAACTTTATAAAGGGTATTAAGATAATTTTATGTGTAATATAGTTTCACATAAAATTAATTTTTTTAATTACAATAATTTGAAAAAGAAATCAACAAGAAAATGACATATCAAAATAAAAATAAACAAGGATATATTAGTGAAAAATAGAAAACTAAGGAATTTTTTTAAACTATACTTTATTTTTTAGTT